CTGGAATTAAACACTCCCTCTGGCAACACTTCAGAGTTTACATCTCCTCTCCCTCGTCCTGACTAACATAAACTACTGAATGTTTTCATCTCAGGAAATCACTGATAAGTAAAAGCTTAATTATAATTTTTTTAATACAACCTACATTTTGGGACATTTTAAAGTCTATCAGCACATGACTTTTAGGCAGCTAATGGTGAGGAAGATCAGTGGCTTTTGAAGAAAAAGGAGACTTAATGCAGTCATTGTTACATTTTTTTTTTACAAAACAAAATCAGAACCAGGCGTGTTTTCATCCAACTTTTTATTATTCTCGGCGAGATAATAAAGCTGAGCAAATTCTGTGCTTAACTTTCTTATTTTGGAAGTTAACATAATGTACTGAAGTTAATACTGATACCTGTCTTGTAATATAAAAACTAACCAGTCCATAAGTGAGAAAATGTGTTATTTCTGTATACTTTTTTTTTTTAATGTCTGTTACCTCCGCTGCCGGATAGGCTTCAGATGAGGACTTCAACAGCGTAGCGCAGAATCAGCCTTTGTTTACATTTCCACAGCAGATTTCTCTATTCCTGATGCATTTGAGTGTCTAAGACAGCAGGATGAAAAATCAAACACTATAAATTTAAAGTACAAGATCACTGTAGAAAGATGTACAGGTTCTACACAGGAGCTTTAATACTTTTTATGCAGGACAAAATTCAGTTCCATAAAGTACTCCTCCTCAATACAGTTTTTCATTCATGCCACTGCTCTAAAATACCTGTTAATTGTAGCCTGTCAAGTCAATGTCATGGCTGCTTTAAAAAATAAGAAAACGGTTATGAAATACTGTAATTTATGTGAAATTTAAAAACAGATTTCCATTTTGGTCATAACATGTGTTCTGTATTTGCTTAGCAACTAGTACAACAGCTCCATAGGCGTTTGTCATCATCCATCAGGCATTTGTTGCCGACCAGCCTCCCCTTCCAGAGAAATGACGTTAGTTATAAAATGAAACGTAGGGCAAGTGAGAGTGGTGCAAATATATCTTTTACAAACATACATTTTTACAGGTTTTTACAACATAAATGAACAACTTCATTAATAAAAGTCTTTGTGCAAATTTACTTCAACAAAAAAATATTTTTCAGGCAGACGAGAGGTGGGTGCCCGCTCCGCACACTCACCTTTCCTTTTTGGATTTTTTTGTAAAGATATGAGCAACTTTACAAAGAGTTTATTGTCAAAATATGATAAATATAAGCTAATTAGAATGCAGTATTTTGGAGTGCTCTTTTTGCATAAAACCCCCCCTCTTTGGCACCCTAGTCAGCCACCTACCTCGCCTGTAGGAAGCGCCCACCCCTGCTCGTTAGCTGTGTTAATTAGCAGCTGTTGATATTCACAGGAACAGGTGTTTTTACTGTAATACATAATTAGATATCCATATACCGTGAGCTGGAGATATTAGAGGCATATTGCTCATGTACTTATTTTTTTCCTGATTATCTTAAGGGTGTTATACAATTATAAAAATTGGTAGTGTTATCAGTGCTAACAATATATATATATATTCAAGTTTGACTACTCTAATGCTGTCAATATGAATGAAGTCCAAGATTCACCCCCAGTAATTGATGAGGCTATCAACCTTTTTATGCTACTGGGGTTTATTCACATGGAGTTTAAAGAGAATGTACATTATGTGAAAAAATACTCTACAATTTTGGCAATGGTCTTTTTTAAGATGATGTCTTGCTCAAGAAGCTCCTCTTGAATTTACCTTTGCATACATGCATCAGTCCTTAATAGCGTCAGACAGCTGAATCACACTGCCTAATGTCAAGACGATGATTTTCAGCCCAATCAGTGGATGTCTGCGGTTGTTGTTTGTTGCAGATTCAGGGACTCCCCAAAATCCCCCATGATTCATCCCATGCTGACTCTACCCAGAGTGCCATGGGAAAGCAGCTCACAAGGCGAGTTTGCCTCCTGTGCCGATGTCAAGCCGGTCCATTAAAGCCAGAGTACGAGGGAAGCGTGTGTTTGTCAGGCCGTATTACGTGAGGACGACACTGATGGACTGCCCTCGGGGGCTACAGTTGGAGCCTCTCGTTGCTCCATCCAACCCTCCACCCCTCACTTGGAGCAACCTTACCTCTCTCTTTCTTGCCTTCTCTCTCCGGCCTTGCATAGAAAACACAAAGTTCTCGCCTGATAACATTTCTTAAAGTAGTTCAAGTATAGATTCACTGAATTTAAACGCACAGCTCTGGTGTGCTCTTAAGACACGCTTGACCTTTATGAAAACTTAATGACTGAACAAAAAATCAATTAATTGTTTTTGTCCAGGTTTTTTTTTTTTTATGTCACTGCAAATATTCCAAAAGTAGAATCAGATTTAGGTTTTAAAAAGTGCTGACTTTATGCTTTTTTGGTCACATTATAGTTAACCAAATTGGTTTCAGTCAAAATGAGCAACTTGATTACAATACTTTGACATTCTTGATCATTTTCTGATATTTATTTTTAATCTAAAATGTGTTTTACATAAATTATTTTTATTCAATTATGTCATCAAGTCTTTGATCATATCATTTAAGTTTATCCTCTTACATCCACACAGATGAAACAGTTCTTGAGTGCCTTGAACTAAAGTAACAGGGGTATAAATCTCTGCCCTTTGTTGTGTGGTACACTATCTTTAAAAATGTAATATCTTTGCACACTAATCAAAAAATCTGAACAGATACTTCCTCCAGGAGTCAGAATAAAATGTCATATCTTCCCTCTCTAAACAGCTCATACGTTTATAAAAAAAAAGATCAACTTGAGTATAGTTGTGCCCCTTGTTGAAGAAATTACTAAGACTTGACTCCATACATAAGACTCAGTTGACTCAGATGGCTTACGTTGACTCAGTTTATTCATAAGATGAATACTCATGAGGAGACATGATTCAACATCACACTTCTGTACTCGTGTCTTGCTCAATCACATCTGCCGAACTTCTCGAAAGGCATCGCATTTATCCTAAAAGACATTATCATTATCAGGGTCGTGTCACGTTGACCCACCTAGACTAAACTGTGATGTCTATAACACTGGAGCAGACAATACGTCTACCAAACATCCTTACAGATATCAGGAAGAACAGTTGACACTCTCCAAGCTGTACTTGGTGTTCTAATAACAACTGAACTCTGTCAGGTCTGACTGACATTAGAGAACAGTGAATAATCCTAATTACATTTGTACATTATAATCTAAATAACTACAGAAATTCCACCACACCCCTCACTGTGTCACATTGAAAGTTGAAAATTACTCAGAGCTGTGTGATGCCGTTATATCCCAGGAAAGATGGATTAAAAGAAAAAAACGACAGCAACCTCACTCCACTTATACAGTATATCTTTATCTGCAGGTGATGATAAGACTCCCACAATGTGGCTCAAATTCAAGCACGGCAAAGACTTGACGTGAAAAATTAAGAACAAACGAATGCTTCCATCTACAGTAAAGCAAATTGGATGTATGTGTGCATCAAGGATGTAGAAAACATTGTTTTTAACTGTAACTACTTTTCTATTTAACAGCCATAATTATTTCTCTTTCTTTTCTCAGTTCTTCCCTCATCTACCTTAGCTGTGCACCTGCTTTGTGTTGTTGTTTGCAAGAAAGATGGATACACTCCAACATACTCCAATCCAAAAAGCTCATGGTCCATATTCCTGGTCCATCTGTCGGCTCTTTAGATCCAATTTTTTCCCAGCATGATCAGGCCAAACCCTGCAGCAGATCCTAGCACACAGCCTCCTGCAACACTGGTGTCACAGACCTGGGACACTCATTCAATAACAGCCTATAACGCATTTATCTCATGTCCAGCTGTTTACAAAAGTCTTTACTTTGTGGCTTTCCCCAGGCTACTCTTTAAATGCCTGCACTGAATCATAAATAGCGTAAAGTATTATTCTTTATTCTTGTTTTTTATTGTAACAGAATTGATGATTTGCAGAGTTCAAGTAAACAAACATTAGATTTACATATTGGCTACAAAATCCGCCTTATCTCACTGCAAGCCACTTTAGATTGTGTGATGAATATAGGCCTAAACCTAATGATATGATAAACGATAGTAGACTATACAGTCTGTAGTCCATTTTTTGTAGTTTAGGTTCACGATATTGCTGTCATCATTGTTTTATGAAATATCATTTGAAATGCAAAATTCTAGTTGCATTAATATCTTTTTAGAATTAGGTATTAGTTCCTATTTTCGAAAAAAAAATATATATATTTCATCAACCACTGGTATGCGTCCTCAGTCTTATGTTGCATTCACTGAAAGTTGGATATTCCAACCGTTGATGCTATCGACTCGCAATTTTGAAAATAAAACTCACGATATCTCAGCTCTGTATTTTAAAACGTTCCATAATGTGATGTCTTATCAATATAGCAGCAACTAGTGCAAATCAATAAAACATTAGAAAGCAGGATAATGTTTATAGGCCTACTAGAAGTCCGCGCGGTACCGTACGGTAACGTTTGGTTCTGAAATTTCCCAGGTTGCGGCAGAAACTGATCTACGGGCATTCTGTTACCAAGGAGACAGACGAGTCGAGACCAGTACTCCTCAGGTAATCGTTTATGTATGAATTGAATTAAATCGTTAAATATGAATGGTTAACACTATAATTAAGGGTATGTAACTATCTAAATTACAGAAAGAATATATGAAGGTATTAGTTTCCATTGTTTTTATGAAGAGACGATGTTTTTCGGACAATTCAAAAATACAAGTTGAAGCAAACACTAGCGCAGAGAGTCTTTCTGCAGCAGGTAGGCCTATTTGAGGCTGTAGGGCCAATTTCAGGAATCACAGGTCATGAAAACAAACTAATGTAAATACACAAGAAAATAATGAAGAATGCATCAACAGTGAAATTAGTTACACTTTTCATTTATAAGTAATGAGTCTTTTCTTTAAGCAGAACACAAAACCCCTGCAGAAATGTCGAGGTCTTCTTATCATCCAGGAGCTAACCTAAACCCAGCCGAGGACTACAGAAGGGGGAGAAGGATCATTGCTGAAGATCCAGACTGGTACCTGACTTTAGTGCCTTGCTTATCAAAACTGTGTCTGCAAAGCATCATTAAAAACTTTGAAGGTTTGCTAGTTTTTTTTGTTGTTGTTTTTTCTGCCATCATTTTTGCATGATTAGTTATACTGTGAATTCAGCTTAATGCAAAATTTGAACCTGTTACAGTGAGGCAGATATTCGAAGAGCTTAAACCCAGCGAGAAAGAGTTTGTGCAAGAAGGACTGTCTACTTCCCTGCCCCTGGATGTGACCGCCAACTGGATCACAGATGGAGTTTACTGGAAGCGATGCTGTGAGGGGCGGTGGGACCTTTGTGATGTCTCCCATTATGGAAACAGCTGGAAGCGAATGTTTTTTGAGAGGCACATGGAGAACATTATTGAGCTTTTTATTCCAGAGGTAACAGAGACAAATAAAGTTCTGGATTTGGTGCCAATTTGTAAGAATTATGTCAAGAGGCTCGACATTACCCAGCTCCTACCACCTATCAAGGAGCCACAGACAGAGGAAGAGGAAGATGGCTTGGAGTTGTTAGGCAATAATGAAGGACCATCCATTGACCACTTTAACTTTAACATCCTGCTCAGTAAGCTGACAAACCTGGAAGAGCTCCATTTGGTTTATCGGGTCAAGCAATGTGGAATGAACTTTGAATGGCAGATGTTTGAGATGACTGACCGAGATTGTGTGTCCCTTGCAACAGCCCTTAAGTCCTGCATGACTCTAAAGGTGAATATGATTACTTCCAGCTGTTTGTAACAACAATAGAATTTTTTGTTGTTGTGATTCAACCATTCTGGCTTTCTTGCCAGTTATGAAACATCCCTTACAGATGTTTTACAGTCCCATATGTCATGAAACAAGGAAATTGTTGTTGACTTTACCCAAGCATAAAATTCATGCTCTATTTAGATCTCAGAACAGACAGCAGAGCCTCTGGCTGCAGCCTGAATAAGTCACTATATGACACAACATTTTTGTCATATTAATTTATTACAGCATGAGAACGTTGAATGTATCTGCCAGACGCTGTGCATGATATGGGAACCATACCAGAGATTATTGGATTTGAAAGTAGGGCTGCAACAATATTTGTATTTTTTATTATATCTGAAAATGATTAAATATACCGAATTGGGTTTCCCAGTTAACAAATGCAACTTATTGAAACCAAAATATTTTTGATTTAGAATTATATTAATCTGACAAAAAGCAAATTTGAGATGCTAAAAACAGTCGAGGTTTGGTGTGTTGTCGGCCTTGTGGTTGCATGGAGGCTTTGGTCCTTTGGGCAGGCAGCCCTGGTTCGAGTCCGAAGCTCCTTTACCGCATGTCATTCCCCACTCTCTCTCGTCCCAAATTTCTGACTCTATCCACTATTCTATCTCTAAACAAAGGCATTTGTTTGCCCTTTGTGTTAAATAACTTTCAATGTGCTTCTCACCATATTCTCTATCGCACCTTTATGATACACTGTTTCCACAGCTTCTCAGGCTCCATGAAAGTCACATTGATGATAAAAAGTGCCGCCTGCTGGTGAAACACCTTTTGGACCATCCGTCCCTGAGGAAGCTGGACTTTTCTTACAACCTGATCGGAGACAGAGGAACCAGAGCCGTCGCTAAACTACTCGCCAGGAGTAAACTGGAGACCCTGAACATGTGCTGCAATGAAATCAGAGAACATGGAGCCAAAGCTATAGCTCATGCCTTGTCCAACAACTCCACCCTTTTGTCTCTTAACCTGCGTCTGAACCGTTTGGGGGACGAGGGGGGTCAGGCTATTGGGAAGGCCTTGCTGAACAACGACAACAACACCCTTCTTCACCTGCACCTGGGAGGCAATACGTTGACGGCACCAACTGCCATCGCACTTGCCAAAGTGATTGCTCAGAATAAAACCTTAAAGGGCATCAATCTCTCCTGCAACAACCTGGGTGTGGTAAGTAGTGCTTATCACGGTGCTGACTACCAGGGTGGGGATATATTTTCCGTTATAAAGTTTTATCTGAGGGTGGTGTGCTAGAAAAAATTCCAGAAGTTGCTGTGCAAGAGCTGAGAACATTGGAGACTGAGAGTGACAAGTTTAAACGTTAAATCAATTGCAATTGGGCTCTGTGTTCAGTCTTACAGTATAACAGCAGCTGAAGGAAACCTTTTCATACACACCCTGTCATGATGTGAAATCAGCTCTAAACCTTCTCACCTTTATTGACCAAGCAATTCATGAGAAAAAGAATGTCAGATTACTGAACAGTCAAAGAAGCCCTGTACATTCAAAAGATGTCCACATATTTCACTCTCACTCGCTACACTACACTGATATTGCAATCCCAGGAGCTGTGTCCCTATCCATTAACAAAAAGGACATTGACCTCTCCACAAAATCTGTAAAACCATTTATTACACAACACAAAAAAACACATCAACCTGTAAATAACCAGAGATTGAATATAAGACTTATTGGCTATTGCATCTTACAAAGAATGCAAACAGACAACCAAACTCTTTTTAAAAATGTATTGGCGTCATAGTGCAACAATCAAATAGTGCTATGAAATACTGCCAAGAAAAAAAGGTCCCCAAAAAGTCACTGAAATCCAACCTATGTAAATACTATAGGAATGAAGGCCCTGTCGGATGGAAGCAACATACTTTTGCTTTTCGTAAAAATGTGACAGTTACTTCTCTGTTGAAAATCTTATCAAGTTAGTTCGTTGATTCGCTGGATTTCCTTGAACTACTCACTCAAAGCTACTGCCTCTGTACACAGCGTACAGTGAATGTAGCAGACAGAAAAGCTTGAAAGTGCACAGGTTTTCAATTATTCATAGATATACAGCATGTGGAAAACATGCAATAATGGAAAGCTATTGTAAGTGAGTTTTGTTTCCCCCGTGAGAGCTGTATCCGATTTTTCCTCTCTCGTTGTTCAGTTTGTGTCTGACCGGAATAAACTGTGGAGGATCAAAAATCACCCACATAGCAGAAATGCAACGTGCTGTACCGTCAATATCTGTGACCTCGGTGTACGCCTCACAAAAATATATAGACACAACAATGTAACACTGTTGACACTCACAGTGAGCAGTTTACAAAGTGTAGGCAGTTCCTGACAGTAAAGGTTGCAGAGCGCTGATTTTTCCAAGGTTGTCATGACTTTCCTAGAACAGCATTCTGTGAAGTGTTCATCATGGATGTATGCATCATCAGTGCCTCTCTCTCTCTCTCTCTCCCTGTGTGGGTGTGTGTGTGTGGGTGTGTGTAGGCTGGAGGAAAAGCTCTGGAGGAGGCGATGTCTTACAACACCAATATAACAGAGTGTGATATCCGTCAGACAGAGGTGGATGAGCAGAGTGTTTCCTTCATAAACCAGGTGGTTTGGAACAACAAGAGTTCAGAAAAAAAGAAAAAAACTCAAGAGAATAAATCCAAATAGACCTAAACAGCTTTATTTTTGTAATAAAAACCCATCTTAATCAAGTTTGATTGAGGATTCCCGTTCCTGCCCTGCATTATCCTGTCTTAAAGTGCACATGCTTTGCTCTGCATTTCAAACTAAAGTAGATCAAATTTAAGATTTGATCTCAGAGCGGGAAAAAGAAGAAAAAATGGAGCCCTAAAAAGACATTTGTCACCTTTCCATTGTAATTCTTATTTTGACTTTTGATGTCAATTTCGGATGTTCACAAAAAAAAGTTAATGAGATCATTTCGCATAAGGAGTCCTGTGTTTTTGCACTTTCAAATGAAAATGTTAAAAAACTACAAAAGCATATTGTGCAGTATCGCTCACCAGCATATTTATCCAAATTAAGACGTAGTCCTCCATACGTCCAGTTTCCATGATGTGAAGTATGAAATGATGACTTCTTTGATAGGAGAACATGTGTCTTAAAGTAGTTATCCATCCACACATATTTTAGTGAGCATTTCAGTTTATTGAGGAGTCGTTTTCCATGTTTACACCAGACACAGATTTGGTTTAAAGTCCTTATGTTACATCAAGGCAACGTTGTGGTGGTGTTGGAATACATACAGACTTGCATTTTTTTAACCTCTTTCTACAGTCCAATGTTAAAGCAGTCATACCTTCACTGTGCAGTAACAAAACCTTTTGAATGTAATAACTTATATTTTCAACATTTTAAAACCTGCAAATTCAGGAGTTGATTGCCAGAATCATTAAGAGGAGAAGGAGTTTTTCTTAAAGGGATGGTGAACTAGTACAAAAAAGTAGTGTACATTTGATCAAATATAGAGATTCTTTAATAATTTGCAATAATCCAGCAACTCTTTTCCTTAAAAAGAAGATGGGAATGTGTTTAACCCCCATGCTAAATCAGTCAAATCATGTTGGCAAGAGTCTGATTTTAGTGAAATATCAAAAATGTATTTAAAAAATGTAAAAATGGCTTTTAGGGAAATAAAAAATAATTTAATCTAGTAAATAAAAAGCAGCACAAATAGGCTGTCTGCTGTGATTGTATTGCCGTTTCCGACTTAACAAACTCACCATTTAACATCTTCACATCAAAAAAAACGTCCCTGCATGAGTTACCTCTAAAGTATGCGTGACATATTCAGCTAAGCACAAGACTCACTGCGACAGTCATTCTAACCTCTCATCTCTATTTTATTTACAGTAAAAACCCTGTTCTGCCCTACAGTCTTTAAATCAACAAAATCCTTTGAATACAAAAAGACGAGCCCCAGAGCGTGAAAGAGTACGTAGTATAACATCCTAATCTACGTCCTACACATGAATAAAGGGTTCAGTGCTTTGCATGACAAAAGCCTTTACACTAACAGTCATCATTTGGATTTGATTAACACAAATTGGTTTCTTTTTTTTTTTTTTTTTTTTTGCCACTGCTGCTGCTACGTAAACATTGCACTGGTAAACACATTTTTTGATTTGTTACTACACATGAATATTTGTGAATATCACAGTGTAGCCATCTAAGAGGCCAGTTGGCTTATATTGAATGAATGAATGTGACGACTTCAGTGAAAATCTGAGAGCAAAATTACTTTTTTTCCCCACTAGATAGCCATTTAAGTAGATATTTACTCGCTAGTTTGCTCTTCCTCTGACTAATGCATGCTGGGAAATGATCCAGCCTCTATCAGATGAATCATAACATTTAAATCCCTGTGTTTCATTTCGTTTCATACATTTGGAAACAAAAGAAAACCCCTTATGTTAAAAAAAGGCTTTGTTGTTCACAACCAGTAAACCATTAAAGAAATATTTTGACGTTATTGGAAGTACACCTGTTTGTTTTCTTACTAAGAAATCAATTGTTCTTCTTGCTCAACATCCGGCTGTTACCGTCCAGTAAATGTAGAGCTCATACACCCAGCAGCTGTTAGTTGGCTATGGTAAGACACGATTTAAGAAAGTACACCTACCATTAAAGCTTTTATCTGAGCACTTATACGTGCGGAACATATTAGCTGTATGACCATACATCGTTTTTACTGTTCTGCTTTTGTTCCAAATAACCAAAGATGTTTTAATAAACGAGAGATGAAGCCAAGCTAGCCTGTTGCAGTTCACTGCTGTCAGTAGCTTCTTTATAACTGCACATACATCTTGAGTGATTTAAAGCTCTTCAAACTCTTGAGAGGAACGCAAATAAGAGTTTTTTTTATCACAGGTAAACCATGTATTTAACCTTTATAGAGAGATCTCAGTTGGTTTGTTTGCTAAATACAGATCTACAAATAGCACACAGAAATGGGTTGCATCCCTAAACAAGAACCTAAGTAGAGTTTATTCATCATCACATTATTATCATTAGCTTACTGCCAAGTGTTAAATACCTAGCCTTGCTTTGTTACCTGGAATGTGAATAATGGTGTCACGTCAGTCTTTTCAACAAACTTTGTTTTTCTTTCTAAAACAAGTTATGAACAGGTGAAGCCTTTGAGCAGTAAATCAAAACGTCTGCATGTCTGTTGTTACAATCCTTCCTGGATACCATCCTGAGTTCTGGCGGCTTGCATAGACGACCTAGGTGTTGTAAAAACAGTTCAAATCAAATTTGAGGTTTCATAGAATCTGTGTTTTTCATCATGCTCCCTTCGACAATTACCTGTGATTTCTCTGGTATTGCTGTGAAGACATTGTAACACCAAACTTAACACTATAAATGGAGTGTGATGAGTATGGCTTACCGGTCCCATTGTACTGGACAAGGCTCATTATTGTAAAGACAAAGTGTGGAAACAGACACAAATCTAACACATCAGAATGGTTTCATGGTGGGAAAAACTATCTATGCCAGTTTAGCTTTCGTTAATGTATGAAGGCTGATTTGTACGTGAGTAACCCTTCTTGAATTGAGTCTGAGTTTTATTCAGTCAAGTCTTAGTCCATCCACATTAGTGAAGTGACAAGTTGGGTTGTGAGATTTTACAGCTTAAAATAGCCTATTAGTCACATTAGTAAGTTAATAAGAAAAGTTAATGCCTATCATGTTTTTTTAAACTTCTTGCATACCCTAATTCTCATCACTGCCTCCGTATTGTCCCGCATGGCTTGACTGTTATATAAAATTCACCACAGACACTGCATGTTCTGATTTGAGAGGAAGTACTTTTTTTTTTTTTAACTTCTTTAAAGTAACCCTGACATATTATTAAATGTGACACTATCAGTAGTGAATCCAGGCCTCTGCCTATTTGTAGCATCGTGGACGGCGAGCTCTGGCTGTCTCTCTGATATGCATCAGCAGCCGCTTCAGTCGGCTATACTTATGAGCTGTGTTATAATATGAGGAAGAAAAAGTAAGGGGCCTGATTCATTAAACCATGTGTATTTTAAACAATGATGGGATCAGATCATTTTCCTATGTATACCACGGGCTAGTGGAAGTGTAAATAAACGTTGTTTTAATGGGGAGCGAGATGACTTCAGTGAGAAATAGCTTATGTTTTTCTGTAACAGTAAAACACTAGGCACTTCAATAACGAGGTAGGCTGCTTACAAATATTGCCAAATATGAAGTTAAATGCATCTCAAGATATAAACTGAATGTTCTAGTAACTGTGAGGTTTATTATTTTTAAGCCAATTATACAAAATGCATGGTCTTCATTGTTGATTCAGTTGGAAGTTCTCCTGTCCTTTAGCCCATCAGGTACTAAATTATTCATCAACTGTGTAGCTATTTTTAGTAAGCCAGGAAGTATAATGTCACGGCAACCAAACCGATATCTACTAAGTTGATATTTCAGCGTCTGCATCCGACATTTATTTTTAAACCATAGAACTGTATTCCTTTTTTATGAATTTCCAGGAGCTTTGACTTTGTACACACGGACGTGAATCAGCCGGTCTTTTTTTTTCATGCAGATGTTTTTGATTGTTTGTTACGTCTTCTTCACTTAGAGCCATAAGATCCAAAAAAACCCCAAAAAACAACTACGTCTTGTGAAATATATACTTTCAAAAAGGAGGCTGTCCCTCATAATTCACATGACTCACTCTCCGTTTGGACTACTGCTGATTCAAACCCCCTATCAGACACTATAAAATGTTACTCATATCCTCGTAAATGGTCTGTGACTAAGATCTACAAATCTGGCTTTTACAGTAGGATGTGATTCATCTAAGTTATGTGACCTTTGTCCTTATGAATGTTGCACGACAGTGCATGTGTTTTTGGTCATTTATTCCTTTAAAGGCGCATTATATTTTAAACAACATGCTGGGATATGATCCAGTCCTGGTTGTGGTTGGAGACTGAGTTACTTCTGTTGAAAAAAGGGGGAAGGAGAGGTCAAGGTCAGCCCAACCCTGGTCAATCTGTCCCTGTATCATTCTACTCCTCGCTCCGATAAGTCTGTACGGCTGTGGGTCATAGAGAGGTCTCTACACAGGAGCCGTTTCTGTGCAGGGAGCGGTGGTCGTGGTTGAGGCAGCCTTCGTTGCGGTGTACAATGAGCACAGGGAAGTACAGAGCGTCCTGATAGGCCGGGGGGTTCTCCTCACTGTTCGGATTTCCTGACAGACAGCGCGTGCTCTCTGTTGGGCAGGACTGCTCGTTCAAACTCCCGCTGCTCCGCCACAGGCAGCTCCGCCTTGAGCCGTACAGCCGACTCAGTGAGAAGCGGCTTGCACTAAAGGGGATGCGAGGGCTCCCTGTGTTGCAGATGCTCAGGGCGCTACGGGAGAAGATGGAGGAGCTGCTGATGGCACGGTGGCAGCGCTCACAGTTCTGCCTGTAGCTTCCGTAGCCTCCACAAACAGAGTAGCTGTTACAGCTCCCAGAGAGCTGAGCCAGGTCCATGAGCACCGCCTCAGAGTAGCTGGGCACCAGCTGCTGGTTGGAGCGAATGTGCCACTCCAGCTCTGTGCTGTCGATGGTGTTGACTCGAGGGATGTGTCTGCAATATGGCCGCTCCTCGGAGGGTGTTGCTGGCACATAATCGAAGCCGAACAGCTTCTCACATGAAAGTGAACACATGCAGTGCGATACTCCGTCAGCACACGCAGAGGCCAGGAGATGGTGAAAGCTGCTGCGGCCCAGAAAGTGGAGTTTAATCCATACCAGGGGAGGTGATCAGGGTCAGAAAAGGCAATCATATGCTCCTTAAAGTCCACATTCTTTAGGTGCATCCCCTCTCGAGCCTCCATGTAGTCATCCAGGCCCTCGTTCTCCGTGAAGAACCGAGCTCTCTGCGTCAGGTAGGAGTTCTCTGACTCAATGTTGGCAAAGCTAAAGCACTTGGTGAACCTCAGCCGGGTGATTGGGAAGCACTCAAGGCCCTGCAAGCTCTTCGAGATGTCTTTAGCCCCACAGTTCCCATAGTCAAACTCCGCCTCAGCCACGTGGGTGTTGACTCGCTCGTGGTACACCTGCGTGGTAGTGTAGGCGTCTCCATTACGGTAGCGTGTCACCTGCCTTGTCCTCCTGACATAATGGTAGCTGATGGCCTTCCACCAGATGCAGGGTGTAGCCTGTTGCATGCGCTGGATTCGCTCTGCCACACTTTCCACATCAACCTTGTACTGCAGCTCGTTCCTGGTGTAGCAGTGCCAGCACTCCACCAGGTAAACCACGTAGAGCATGACCAGGAAGGCCAAGGGGATGTAGATGTAGCCGTTGGAGCAGGGGCTGTCATGGTACATCATAGACTTCCCCTTGTAGGCGCTGTCGAAGGAGAGGCGCGTGACCTTGGTCACCTGGCACCAGGCCATCACCCCAACACAGCCGTACATCAGCAGGGTCAGCAGCAGACATTTCCAGTGAGTCTCCTGACAGAGGGATTTAGTCAGGGACTGTTTCTGAGGTCGCTGCTGCAAAGATGAGAATACAGAAATCAAAAAAATGCAAATAATACTGTACATTCAATTTACATTTCAATCATAATCCTTGAACAATCTGGAAATATAATGTGTTATATTACCAAACTAAAATAGAAAACTAGGATTTATTGATGAACGCACGTCTGACCTAAATCTCTGAAGTTAGAAACTTAAAAAGTACTTGCTCATGCATATAAAATATTTAGGGAAATTTTCTGCGTTGTAAGTGCTTTTGAATACTTTATGCATGAGCTGTGAGCCAATTTCATGTGTCCTGGTCTGTTCGTGTTATAATCAAAAGACTCAGCCACTGTTGTGACCAAAATGCAGTAAATGATCAACTGAAACCAAAGGTGAGGGATTATATACACACACATATTGAAGCATTGAGAGCTGACTGTGTGACTGTTTGTGTAGGTGTCCACAATGGCTTGGGCTAGGTTTCCCATTTAATGTCAATCCAGCCAGAGAAAAGCAGTCGTTTGACTCTGGCAAGCGTAAAGATGGGGCCATCTTTTGTCACCATGGGCTACAGTGAGCCTGAGCGACTGCATCAAAAGCAAGTCACGCCTTTTGGGAACACTGCCACACAAACCTGGCACACATCCAAAAGCCCCCGAAACCATTTCTTATAACAAAATTCATTCAAAAATTAGCATATGAGACATCGCACCAGGGTAGAGCTGTCAGTGTACAGACATAAAACATTTGAGATTGTAATTTAGCAGCACTGATTCAGTTAAAAAAAAAAAATAGTGTTCCTGTTTATCTCTTACATCACCGCCCATAAGTCCTCCATAGTGACCACAACATTCAAACCACCAGCATCACTGCATTGATGTATTGACTTCAATATGTCAGCCCTGCTTCTCCACTGACACATGAGCATAAATAATAGATGTTTTCTCTCCATAATTATCTGCAGCACCTTGGTCACATGGTCCCCAAGTCCCTCACCAACCCAAGACTACACCCTGCGGGGGATAAAAGGGATTAACATTGAAATTCTCCATTGAGGTGAACCCACTGCAGAAGGACTATTTACTCAGATGCATCCTGTACACGCACTACCACTATAATCAATACCACATGACATACTTTGTGCCACATGTTACATTTTACAGCTTTGGTCAAAGCAGTAGGAACAAAATCTGAGTATTTGGGTAGAGGTAGAAAAAAAAAATAGCTGAAATCCAGTTTATTAAAAATTGCATTTTTATCCAGAGCAAATAAAATGGTGTTTCTGAAAAGTTATTTCATCAACACACGTGGCATTTTAATTTATAAAAATCCATCTTGAGATGAAAACTGAGCGGCTCATTCAGTTTAAGCACAGCAGAAGAAGGAGGAAGTGACTCACCATGAACACAGAGGTGGTTTTGATCACATCTTTGATTCATTAGAAAAGAAATGTATCTGGCGGTGTTGATAGGCATAAAAGACCTCGCTCTCATTAAGCATACAGGGCAAAAAACACCTCATGTATTTGTCATGCAGGGACACCCGAATCACAAGTAAGAGAATAAAAAATAAAAAACGTGTTAACAAGTAGAAAATAAAAGAATGTAAAAAAGTTCGAGAGGTTACACAAATATTAACTGAGCTTTTAGTTCTAAAACATGTTTTGTCAAATGGTGGAATAAAAGTACAATATTTAACATTGTAGCATTTAAATCTCTAAAATGGCCTGACCTAGGTTTTATATTTTGTTGCGTTGTTTACCTATAGTATCCCAAATGATTCCAACAGTGTTATGAAAAATACTTTTTAAGCTAGTCGTGCAGTTTGTTCGATTGCCTTGTGACCAAATATATAGATGTAGATATCTAACAGCCATAATGATTGTTGATAATGATAATAACTAGAAAGACAACACATCCCATGATTCCCTGCTCCTCTAACATTATACCAAACCAAGTCTTTGGTTGCAGTGTTGAAGAAACAATTATAATCAGTACATGCTGCTAACTTAAAAACTGTATCTAACTTGGCCCTTTTCTTATTTGCATTCGACACGTCATGTGGTGTAAAATGATGGCTGAGGTTTCTGAGGATTAGTCACCTGGAGTCTCCGTTACCATTTCTGATACTTGGTTGCAGCAGTGCTTATTGTATTATACTGCCTCTTCACACAGAAGTGCAAGCAGTTTCTATGCATGCCAAAAAATCAAAGTCAACTAAATCAGAAGAGAACAAATCTCTATATCAAATTTAGGATTTTCAGGATACCAACCTGCATGTTTATAATGAGATTTTACATTATACCTTTATGGACTTGTATCACTACTGGACAAAAACAGAATGGAAGAAAAGTATTTTTTTTTATTCACGAAGGAGAAAAATAAACTGACTGAATAAACGATTGAGTCAGAAGCCCCAGTGCTGGAGAAGCTTTACAATTCATGAGACAAATGTGGCGCCTTGAACTAAGTGCCACTCAAGGACACTTTCTCTTGACATAATAAGACCAGCAAGATTATATAAAAACCCTCTTGTGTAATGGATATTCCATTTGTCCAACATGTTTGTAGAAGAGAAGAGAACAAAAAACATATCATGAATTATCATAATTTACTCAGACAAAAGATCCCTGATGAATTCACTGTCTGGAGCAACAAAGCCACATATATAGAGACCGCCTTGTTATTGTCATACGCTCTCACTGTTACAGTAACAGTAATATTAGACAGTTGAATTTATCCTTGGGACCTGTTAAGAACCTCTCCCGGACACACAAAAGGTCCCTGAACCCCATTTTGGGAACCACTTGTCTACAGGGGAGACAAACAGGAATAGACCCATGCTCGTTCACACTCTCGAGTGCGCGCTTGGACGCACACTTTCATTTATTTATTCTGCATATTAGGACCATAAACACAGGTGTAATCTCGTCCAAATCCAGAATAATTCCCACCCTTTTTCTCCCAACTCCAATCTCTAAAATCGGATTATTACTGTGAGATTATCAGGATTCCGCTGTGAAATATGGCACAACCAATTAAAGAGGGATGCAGAAAATTAGCTTGTAAACAATGTGTCCTCACCTCCTCCCTGGGGCTGCTCGGCTCCTCTTCCTCGGGCACGGTGGTGGTGCTGCTTTCACTGGCGGTGGCAGCCGATGCTGGGGACATGATGACAACGGTTCAGGAACCGGGGCATGGATCTCAGGATGGGATGGGGGTTTTCCAAATCAGGGCGCAACATAAAGACAACGAGGAACCCTCTGCGCGTCATCCAAAACAAAGCAGCCCGGCCGGAGCCCGAATTAAAGCCCTGAAGAGATCCTTCATCCCGGGTCCTCCAGGTGGGCAGACGTCGCTGGGTATCGCTCAGAGTAATCCAGTCACTGAGCCTCGGAAAAAAATAGATAGGACTCCTCCCGCGATGCAATGACAGGATGTTGGTGAGGAGAGCCGCAGGGGAGCTGTAGTACTCATAAGGAAAAGGCAAAGGCGTCAGTCAGTCAGCTCCTCTCCCTAGGCAGCGCTCATGGCAGCCAGTGAAGCTGTGAAGCAGGACAAAGACGACGGACAGCGGCACGTGTGAGCAGCCAGCACCGACACCACAATGTAAATAACACACACAAACCCGCACACGCACGCACACACACTCACACACACACACACACACACACACGCATCCCTGTTCGAGTAAATCCCAACAGGACACAGAGGCGGGGCTGCACAGAGGAACCAACCCCTCTGCATCCCATTAGATGCAGGACCTTTCCTGCATGGACCAATTATGATAACGTTGTTAATATCCACTCAACCATAAAACTGTAGAAGTTTTTTTTAAGTGTTGGTTACACCAGAACTATACAGCTAAATATGCATTAAAAAAAATTTCAATTACAGATGAAATCACAAGATTTCAAACGTGTGAAATATGTGATGATCATGTTTACGTTGAGACTGTTTTAACAAAGCTTTGGGAGATTTAAACCTTTGAAACCATAATTATGTATTTTTGTGCAAAACAGCATTGAGGTATTTCATTACCTCACATTGCACATCATTAATCACAGATAGTGAAATGCACAGGAAATAACAGCCCCTGCACATCCCTTTACGAGCATTTGTTTTGTTGACATGAATTATAGCGAAGTGAAATCATTTAAAGAATGAGTTTGTGTGGTTTGTTGCCTAACTGCCCCTCTACCATTTGGTCCTCTTCCAAACTTCACTGTACCAGTATCTTTCCTAACAGAGCTGTTCAAAATAAATCAGGAAAGAAAAAGGTGAACAAAAACTTATAATAAATAATAATGGAATGAAAGGGAAGTTCAATTCTGATCAGAAGGAAGCCCCACAAGTATATCATAAAATACCCCCAAAGAGATGTTTTTTTTTCATTCATAAAGTGCATTGAGTATTTATCTATAACAAAGCGGGTTACAGAGGGTCCAGGTGGGGTACAGGTAATGTTTCCATGTCATCAATAAAAGGTTGCCAGATAATACATCATGTTTGTTGTCTAATGGCATTCAGTTTGTCATCTCTGATACCTATTTTAAAATAGAGAGGGGGGGAGAGCTATATCAATGCATTTTTCAGAACTTTTGTTCAGATTCAGACTTCATATTTCCAAAAAGGCAGATTTTTGGATCTGGTGGTATTAGTGTTTTCTATTATTTTAGTCATTACTTCCTAGATGATCAGCACAGATTTAAGATTCTTGAATTATGTCGGTGTAATTTCTGAGGGGTAAGATAGAGCTGATGAAGAAAAGTAGTTTGAACATATAGCATTTACAATAGTAGACATAGCCTACTGTTTTGACATAAATCAGACCATAAGTCTTCGTCTAAAGAAATACACAAATGATGTATATTTTGTTTTGGATATGTATTAATCAGAAATGACTATATCCAGCCAATAAACTGTCTTGATCGTTTAAAGGACTTTTTCAACCTTTGTCAGTTCAGGTTATTTCATTCTTTCCTCCTTTTTTCTTTCAAAAAAGCTCTTAGTGGCAGATGACAAAAGACATGTTTATTTGATGAGTATTTATCTTTTTAAAAAAAAATAAGATGCGATTGCTGCCAATTCATAGAACATCATATGTTGAGTGCACATAACACAGGATCCAATGCAGATGAGTGTCAGTGTTTTTTTCTTCTTTCAGACGGTGTGGATGATTTTATGTGTGTACAAACAATGAATAAAATTGAAATCTTATCTTAATAAACAATATTAAACAAATCAGAATAATGTCAAGTTAGTTTCTATATTATGTGTTTAGGCATACATCATTAATGAATCCACTAACTTGACTCTAAATAGGAAGGGAATCTAACAAAGTGAATATTAAACAAGTGTTATATTCAATGATCCATATACCCGCAGTAGCAGGTCAGCCTCGGTTTTGGATGGAGAAGAGGAAGTGACAGATCGGAAGGCATGGCTTTTGAAATGTTGGGGTTGTGGCTTAACCAGGTGTGGCAAGGTCAGGTATAGTGATGCAGGTTGAGTGGAGACTTTTGATTGAACACTTTAAGCTACTCAAAGGACAATTCTCAAGGAGCCATATTCCTCTATCATGGTGTGGTGTTTTAGGTGATAGGTTATTATTCACTCCAGTAATTGTTTGAATCTCATGCCATATAAGATGGACAGGGAAAGGATGTTTGGTTTTTCTTAAAATAATTTCTAGATTCCATTTATGAATGAAATCATTTCACACCTCTTCATCAAGGTCATGCATTTCAATTTGTGTCCAGGAGGGGGCAAAGTTACAATCACATAAAGATGAAAAACCTTGGTACTTTTACCAAATGTTTTATTGAGGGTTTAAACAGATGGAGGACAAATAGGGAACAATTGAAATAGGTGCATTGTCCTTGGGGGTATATTCATTTTAATGCAGCTGACTCCCCAAAATAGAGTTAAAGGGTAGATCTGATGACCTTTCCAGATCACTTTCTTCCCAAACATCAGGAAGCTTTTCCTTAAAAAAAATCCTGGCATGCAAGCCCTTGTTTACATCCCACTGAATGGACATTGGACTGGACTGCTGGATTAAAGCAGTGCTGTAGTATGTTGACAGTAGATTACATGAATACACAAAAAGTGGCTTGACAGCTGCAGTTACTGTTGCTTGAAAACATTATTTGTGGTAAAACTAGCTGTTTTTTGGAGGCTTTATTCTTTATTTTATGGGAGAAAAAACAAACAGACTTTAATATCACTGTTGAAACTGAAAATGCAGGAAAAGTAGAGTAGAGGCAATCTTGTTGCTGGTGACTGAGATAAATCATAGTAAATGCCTCAATCAATAGTCTAGCATCCGCACCAGTATGGAAAACAATATGCGTGTTGTTATGTAATGCTGTATGTCAAAATGCAAACTGACATTTCAGTTGTTCCAGACATGACATAACAAGCATTGTAGCCTGCTCTAATTAGTATTCAGTCACTGTCAAATTAAACTGAACAAGATTTACGTGAACCATGTTCAGGTTTGGCAGCTTGTCGGGAAAGATCATTTTAGTTTCCTGCTTGTCAAACCTTTAACAATAACAGTAAGGACTTCCTGTTATGACTTTAAAAACTGATTAATGTTGTTTTCGAAAAGTGTTTACTGGGGGGGAAAAATAAAAGAGAAACTTGATGCGTTATTTGGCAAGGAAAAACTAATGTTTGAGACTTGACAGCATGCCTCAAGTTTTCTTTCGAATCTCACAAAGATTGAAACAAAATTAAAAAGTGTTTGCATGGCTTCACAGGTAGATTTTTTTAATTGTAAAGCAAGTGTATCAAAATTACTTGGGCTGGTCATTGTAAAAACACTTGGTGAAATGTTTTAACAAGTGAACAATCTGATAATAAGAATTATTAAGTTTTGTTACCTTGGCTATTTAATACCTATTATTGGTCTGCTTTGATACTCGTGTTTTGCAGGCATATTGTAAACAATGCAGTCAGAAAACCCACTCTACTGGAGAAACTATGCAATGACAACACTTCTATTTTTTTATTTATTTTTTTTGCATTAAAAGTTTCGTAAAAAAAAGGTTTTCAAAAAAGGATTATGATGGAAAACATAACCCAAATTGTTGAAATGAATGGCTGCAAAATGTATTGTAAAATGGTTAAGTGTGAATAAAATGAGCATTTTTTTTTTAATGTAAATATCCCAAAAAGCTCACAGATATAATAGAAACGAATTTCAGTTATTGTAATTTTATTCCGTTTTTATTTTTAATATCGTTTAACTGTCTCTGTGCTCTGTTACTGGGGCAACCCAGTGCTCTGTTACTGGGGCAACGTTCCTCACGTAGTCTGGTTCGTGTGCGCGCGCGTGTGTGTTTGTGCACGCGCACTGGGGATTCCCCTCGTGACAACAACAGCTTCGCCTTTCATATGTCAGCTCTCCTCCGGCCTTATCGCATTTCACTGCTCACAAGCTCTACGCCCGGAGCTCATGTTGTTACCGGATATGTAGACGACGACACTCCGCCTGTTTCCCCCCCCTTCCCCCCAAGTTTGTAACTAAATTTAAAAGTCTCGAAGAAGTTTTTAAAAGCTTCACATTTTCGATCAAAGGCACCGCCGGACTTGTCGCTGTGAGGTCACGTTTTTTTTTTTTTTTTTATGTGTGTCGGGTTTGTGGCATGAAACGCGGCGGCTCACTCCTCCGGTTTCACAAAGGAGCGGTGGTTTCTTCAGGTGTCTTGTCGTCGGCTAGACTCGGGAGTCCGGTCACATCACCGAGCACCGGGTGGCGTCAACACCCGTAAGTAGCTGTTAATTCCTCTGGGAAGGCGGGGAGGGGAGGGAGGGGAAATCCAGCGAGTCCACCACCACCACCACCACGATGGCGAGCGGCGACTGCAGGAAAGAAGACTCGCTGGAGGAGAACCGCACGGACTCCGGCATCGACTCGTACCGCTCCATGCTGAAGTCAGAGGAGCCCAGAGAGCCGAGCGGCGACTTCAGCGGGCCGAGGGACAAGTTTTCCACCGGAGAAGAGCGGCTGGATTCGGCCTACGGCTCCTCGTCCATCACGGTCGAGAGTCTGACGGAAATAGTCGGGGACTGCACGCTTTCCAGCGCCAAGGATCAAGCACAGATCTCTGAACTGTCTGAGCAGGAGGAGAACCTGCTCACAACTATCACTGAAGATGGAGACACGTACGTGATTCGCTCATTTAATCAGATTTAAACAAAAGTTTGCTTTATTGATTTGTCGTATCTGTTGCATGCTGGTTGGTGAAGTTCAAGCTCGTTGACTTGCATGTTTGTCAAAAGTTTAGTTTAACTTTTTCACTCAAAAGGTTTGCTTCAAAAATATTCCCACACAGAACCACGTCAGACAGAGAGGCAGTTTGCATCTGTTTAACATCTTTCACAATCTATTTATCTTGAAATCCCCTTATTACCTTGCATAGATAAGTATGCTGATTAAAACGAGCGCCATCTCACTGGCGACTAAAGCTTCTACCTGTAATTATTTTAAAGTAATGATCATTTTATTCCTGGTTTATGTAATACAATATTTAAAAAGGCCCATCACAGTAAACCCTTCAAATCCATTTTTTTCGTCCTACCAGCAGTCGAAAACCAAAAGGTATTAAAATAACATGAAAGGAAAAAAAAAAAAAACACAGCAAAACTTCACATATGAAAAGCTTGAATAAGAGAATAATCGACCTTTTATATGCCTTTTTATTGCTTTAAAAAATGAGCCCTGAGTAATTGAAAACCACTGTTGCTGTTTCTCTCACATTGATAATTGATTAATCCACTGTTGAAGTACTCACACCCTTGCAAGCAACACAAGCTTAACTTTATTTCCTCCCGAGTTGTTTCACTCGGAGGTTTCTGTTGCAAAAAAACATCCATAAATGGCAGCATATAGAGTCTGTAAATGAGCTCAACGTGAGGCCCAGTTATTCCCATGATGCTGGGTTTTGAAGGGGATTTCATTGGGTTGCGATACTACAGCTCCTTTTTTTTTTTAAATGAACTTTGTCCTTGTCATTAATGCGCACTGACTTCTGTGAGTCGTCTCTCAGTCAGAAAACAGAAGTGAAACAGAGAGGCTTGGACTTCCCCATGCTGCATAGACAAAGCACATGCTGTGAGGCAGTACTGTGGACGCCTTTTGATCCAAGAAACTTGTTGATCAGGATGGTACAGTCAGTTTGTGTCTGTGTGTGCATATTTATGTTGTTGGATCCCAGTATGCATGAGCTGCTGTTCTTTTCTTTTTCACAAGACATTAACTCTGAAAATGTCCGTTTCTTCTTTTTCTACCACGGTGGCTGTTTTTCTGCAGTTCAGTTCTCAGTTTGACTAAATGAAACTGCTGCTTTTGGCGCACAATACAAACACCTCAACCTCCACACACACGCACACACAGCATGAGCAACCCATGCAGACCTTCTTGTGATCCACTCATCTGGTCTTGCTCTGTCATCAAAACTGTTTTGACGTGAAAAACAGGCATGCTAATGACTACTACAGTGATCCAACAATTTCTGTAGACTCCATTGTAGAGGTGTTGCCGCTTCTATGACCTCTTTTCACTTCCGCTTGCTGGTTGTCGGGGCCACATGGTTTTATTCTCACACCTTAACTAAAAGGTCCCAGGGAGGAGGAAAAGACACCTGAAACATGTGAGAGGGGAGTCATTCAAACATAATTCCCCCCCCCC